TAATACAATTTCACTGTTTTAAGTATGTAACTAGAAATCCCACCATAGGTTTTGAGAGGTGAAGGATTTTTTTTTCTTAAGTTTATTTATTTTGAGAGAGAGCAAGGAGCAGGGAAGGGGCAGAGACAGAGAGGGAGAGAGAGAATCCCAAGTAAGTTCTGAACTATCAGCACAGAGCCCGACTCAGGGCTCGATCCCATGAGCCATGAGATCATGACCTGAGCCAAAGTCAGATGTTTAACCGACTGAGCCACCCAGGCACCCCTAGGAGTGAAGGAGAAAGACAGAAAGAAAGACAGACAGACAGACAGAAAGGAAGGAAGGAAGAAAGGAAGAAAGAAAGGAAGAAAGAAAGGAAGAAAGAAAGGAAGGAAGAAAGGAAGAAAGGAAGAAAGGAAGAAAGGAAGAAAGGAAGAAAGGAAGAAAGGAAGAGATTTCCAGTCTCAGTCTTGATCAGACAGACTTTGACACATGAAGAAGAAAAAAAAAAAAGGAAGGTTGAAGAGAATCTGAGAACAGAGGAAAAACAGAAACCAACCCACAAAGCAGTTGTTAGTAACAACCCACAGAATCCTTCACTCCATCCTTTCCCTTCTCCAGGTTCTTATCTTGTCCTCATCGGTGTTATTTTGTCTCGGAGGCATGAAAAAGTCATTCCCATTTGTCACCAGAATCGAGAATCTTGGTCAGAATGACTCTTCTCTCCATGCCCAGCTCCTCAGATGCCCTTAACTCCCCTTCAAACAATACACCTTCACATCTCAACAGTAACCTTTACATGGACACAAAACTGGGGAAATTTTTCTGTTTCCTAGCTTTTTGTCAGATTGAAGTTCATGGTGCTGTCAGATCAACACGACAGACTTTTTTTTTTTTAACTTCTGTAACAAACTCAACATAATAAAAACAGGCACTGAGTTCAGCTCTGATGGGCATTTGCATATCCATCTCATACGGTCACTTCTCTCCTCAGTAACCTGCTTGTGGCAGTCCATTTGCTCTCACAGGTTTCCCCTCTTTTCCTTCGTAGGATACTTGGGTCAAAAGTATCTCAGCCAGATTTCTCTCCTGAGCTGTGAAATGTAACCAAATCTTTTATAAGATTTTTTTTAAGTTTATTTATTTTGAGAGACAGAGACACAGAGCGTGAGCAGGGGAGGGGTAGAGAGAGAGAGGGAGAGAAAGAATCCCACATGGGCTCCATGCCACCGGCACAGAGCACCATGAGGGCTCAAACACACGAACTGGGAGATCATAACCTGAGCCGAATTCAAGAGTCAGACGCTTAACGGACTGAGCCACCCAGGTGCCCCTAAAATATTTCTAACAGGAGTTTTTGATCCAGCCAAGACACTTTTCTCCATCAAACCTGCAAATCCACTATCATCTAAAGCTGAGTGTCTCTACGTGCTGGAATGCTATAGAGCCTGTAAGAATGAACGATGGAAATACTTAAAGAATTCCCTCCTCTTGTGAGCTGCTTCATTTCTTTAAAAAATGGCTATTTTGACAGACAAAACACTTGTTTCTTCTTTATACTGAGTTCTAAACCACCAACTTCTAAATAATCTCCCAAATTCACCTCCTTGGTCCATTTGTTAACATCAAAAAGAGAACGTATGCTCAGCTTGCCCTATAAATGAGACAAAGTTACCACCACCACATGCCACTTGCTTTTGTTTTTAATTTTTTTGATGTTTATTTATTTTTGAGAGACAGAGCGTGAGCAGAGGAGGGGCAGAGAGAGAGGGAGACACAGAATCCGAAGCAAGCTCCAGACTCCGAGCTGTCAGCACAGAACCCGACGCAGGGCTCAAACTCACCAACTGTGAGATTATGACCTGGCTTAACCGACTGAGCCACCCAGGCGCCCCGGCCACATGCCACTTTCAACACCATGGAGATACATACCGTCTTTCTGTCTATAAAGTTACGCAGCTTCCTCAAAGAAGTCCCTTCTCACCAGCTATTTTGGGACGTTTATCACTGAAGTTTTTTCATGCAATGTTCCTGTTACCATGTAGCTACCAATTGTAATATGTCAATCATCAAGGTAAGTGACCTCAGTAAGCCTCATTCAGAAGTTCTAAAAGGACTGGAAGTTCTGCTACCTGACCACTATTTACTCTAGCAACACTTACAAAGATTGTGTTGTCATATACAATTCTTTTGCTTGCTATTTACTTCACCTAGTACACACAACAGAGTCGATAGATACTTGTTTTTTTTCTTTAAGAAATTCGGTCTTTCTGGGGCGCCTGGGTGGCTCAGGCAGTTAAGCGTCCGACTTCAGCTCAGGTCACAATCTCGCGGTCCGTGAGTTCAAGCCCCGCATCGGACTCTGTGCTAACCGTTTGGAGCCTGGAGCCTGCTTTGGATTCTGTGTCTCCCTCTCTCTCTGACCCTCCCCCATTCATGCTCTGTCTCTCTCTGCCTCAAAAATAAATAAACGTTAAAAAAAAAAAAGAAATTCGGTCTTTTAAGTTTTACTTAAATTTCTGTAGTAATCTCTATACCCAACACAGGACTCCAACTCATGACACCAAGATCAAGAGTCACACGTTCTTCCAACTGAGTCAGTCCAGTGCCTCTCAGGTCAACAGATTCTTGATTTTTTTTAAAAAAATGAAATCATCTGGGGTGCCTGCGTGGCTCATTCTGTTGAGCATCTGACTCTTGATTTGGGCTCAGGTTCATGATCTCGCAGTTCATGAAATCAAGCCCCTCAAGAAGCCTGCTTGGGATTCCCTCCCCCTTGCTCTCTGTCTCTACTCCCCGCCCCCCCAAATAAATAAATAAACTTAAAAAAAAAAAAAAACAGAAATCATCTAGTCTTTTTCTATGCCTCCAAATAGAGGTTTTACTACTAGACAATGTCTTTTTTACCTTTAAAATAGAACTTCTTTCTAATACCTTTGCATGCTTGGTCTATGATGTCAATCTATGGAGGCAAATGGAAAATTTGGTGGAAACAATATTATCTCTCTCAAAGTATTGTGTAGATCATCAGGTTTAAGCCCAGAGGCTTTAAGAGAGGAGAAAAGGTTCAGAAAAGGACTTGTCCAAGGTCTCAACAGCAAAAGCAGAATCACAATCTGCCTAGAATGCAACCCAGTGCTTTTGCAAACATGTCTCCTGACTGAGCAAAATCTTAGTAAAATAAATGATTCTCTATAATGTTTTAAGTTTCTTCATTTCTAAAGCCTTTGTGAAGGTTCTATTCAAAACTCCTGACTACCATTAGAAAAAAACAATGACACTGTTTAAATGGCAAAAGAAATACAGCAAGCCAGCGATCAATGATTCCAGAATCATCCTCTGATGTGTGAAGCTACCTTCCTTACATCAATAACACTCTCTTGATCTCTCAAAACTTCATTCTCATTCAGTTATCTTAATTTCAAGGAAGTCCTGGAAGACAGGCTACGACCTTATACGTAATTATATATACACAGATGAAATACAGTTGAAACAGGTCATGTACCCACTCCAAAAATTTAGCATCCATACGAGAAAGCAAATCTCTGACACAAAAGCTTATTCAACTGCAACCAATTCATACGCGTCATTTAAAACAGCAAGGTTCACAGAATGAAGAAATGGCTTGATAGTAAGAAGTCACTTACAGTGAAAAGCAATAAATATGGCCAGAGATTGGGGGGAGAGGGACACACATAGTCGTTAACAATTAAAAAAAGACACAGAATTTGAAAAGAGTTGATGAGCATTTGCAAAAATTATCGCAAGTACCTTAGAGCAAAACGAAAACAGAAGACGATGTCAACTCGTGATAAATTGGTAAAATGTGAAAAAAGGAAACTGTACAAAACAGGTGCGATCTAAACCTTAATCTATGCTTAATTAAAAGATTAATGCCACCATCTGGCAGAAAACCCTTCCCCCAGCACCTCACAACTCAGTCAAATGGACTGCCAATCTCACTACGCCTTCATTAGTGACGGATCTAAGTTACAGATGTGCAGCTAGAAATTTGTGTGCCTACACGAAAGTTTCACACATTACAGCATTCGGGTCCCTTGACCAAATTACAATCTTCTCCCTCCTTGTGACAAAAAAGCTCGGAGTTTAACTGACTAGGTCAAATTTCAGAAGATACGAGACCTAATCTCCATGTGACTTTCGTCATCCTGTCTTGAGACAGGGACCAAACTCAAGGCCTAACCAGGAAAAGCTGTTGGATTTGCCAATTCACACTAGAGAACAATGGATCTACCAGAATTCCCTCCTTTTTTTTTAATTTTTTTTTCAACGTTTTTATTTATTTTTGAGACAGAGAGAGACAGAGCATGAACGGGGGAGGGGCAGAGAGAGAGGGAGACACAGAATCGGAAACAGGCTCCAGGCTCCGAGCCATCAGCCCAGAGCCTGACGCGGGGCTCGAACTCATGGACCGCGAGATCGTGACCTGGCTGAAGTCGGACGCTTAATCGACTGCGCCACCCAGGCGCCCCGGAATTCCCTCCTTTTTTAAGCATGTGGTTCACATGAGACCGACCACATACACAGACTGACCAAAGGATGAGGAAGGACGCCACTAGACCAACCGCGTGTCAAGCCTTGTTTTGTACGTGTGGTTGACCTGACACCCCTGAAATGATGCGTGTGCTTCCCCTTCTGTAGCCTTCTACCATTTGAAGCTCCTCCTTTGAATTTCTCCTCCTTTTCGCTTCTTCCCTCAAGAACTGGGCAAAATGCCCAACACTTCTTTCCCGTGGACTGGTTCGATTTTTCTGTGTGTTGAGCTCTTTTCTTTATTTTCAACAGCACTTGCACACAACCACATGAACACGAAGAGAAAAGTCAGGAGGCACTCACAGCACTCCTGTGAGCAGGCTCCCTGGAAAGAGAAGCCAACAGAAATCAAACGACAGCTACTGCAAAAATTGTATTTAGAGATTTCAAGTGCAAACGTTTTGAGGTGGAATAAGATGGCATTGTTTGCAAAGAGGATGAGTGCACATATTGATCATGAGACGTACTTTTGCCACACAGTGCATGACATTTGAAAGGCGCTCGGCTGGCACACTCTTTTCTGGCTACACCGCATGGTCTTGTGCCTCCGCCATCAAGGGAATGACATCATGGCTACACACGAGCAAAAACTCCTTCCGGTCCACGCTACTTTAGAGAAATTGAGAAACAAGAGAAAGAAAATGCGCTTTTCACAGGCAGACAGACTCGACAGACCATTTCTCCCGTGTCAGGACAGAATTCTGCAATCTGCATTTCCCTTCTGCAGCTCTTCTCAAGTGTGACCTTTAAGAGGCTCTTCCGGCATTGGGGAGGCAAAAACTTTAATTAAAAGAAAGGGCAGCAAAGAGGCCTAAGGAAGGAAGAAGGCTTTTTTACCTTGCATTAGACAAAGGTGGATTTTCTCAAAGCTCCCAACTGCCAGGACAAAATGCAAATCCCAGGATCAGGATTATATCGAGCACACAAGCTAAGGGCCTTGAAGCAGGGACACGGCACAGTGGGCCTAACTGACCACACGCTGGTGAAATTCCCTCGGAGCTGGTGACACTAACATCACATGTGCCCTATCTTTTGTACAAGTGTGACACTATTTGCCTCCCTTCTAGACGTTTAAAGCGACCCCTCATTGCACCTTCTTGAGATCCCCCACCACATCATCCAATACTCTTTTGTGGAGGAAGCACAAATTAAATCCTAGTATTGCTTTCTTCTAACAAGGAGGCCTGCGGATTTAAAACCGTAATCGAAACCCTCAAGAGGAATAAACTTGAAAAAGCTAAAGCTTATTAGGACCCGGGCTCTAGTTGTGGCAGAATGAAAACGCTGTGCGTCCCTGTATAGCATTCACACAATTTGCAATGCTTCACACAAAAAGGTTCATCTGCCTCTAAACAGCAGCCCCACTGGGATTTCTGTGGAGGCAACACTGAGTAGATTGAAGTCATGTGAAATTCAGAGCCCTTGCCTCCAAGGGATGCACCATCATTATCACAACTTTGACAAGGGGAGAAAAAAAGAAAACGTCTAGAGTGTGATATATCATTAAGATAGTTCTGAACGGGCTACGTCTCAGAGACAGCCCTAGAGAATAAAAAGGGACACGATGAGGGCCCCGAGAAACAGAGGGTCTGTCCCAAGGAAAATGTCACAATCACCAGCAAGATAAACCTTGCTTCCTTCAATACAACCCCAAGACCAGTCTTCAGGCTTTATCCACAGCAATTCGGTGTATTAAGGGAAAAAAGAATAAGGGAAACTCTTTTTATTCTTCTAAGGGTCCTGAAGCCCCTCACAGAGCAGCAAGAGTGAGATTCTACAAGAACGGGGTCCTGATCCAGAAACGTAGATTCCATTAGCTCAAAGCACACAACTCGCTTGAAAAAAGAAATCCTATATTTACAACTCTGCCGAGCAGACAGGCTCTCTCTTTCAGCTCTGTGGAGGGCTGAAGACCTACTTCCTCACTGACAAAAGATTTCACATGAAAAATAATAGTCCTCTTGGTCTGGAGTACTTATCTTTTTAAGATTTGACAAAAATTTTAAGTAGGTGGCTCTTCAGCAATTATTTCCTTTTTTCCATTTCCACAGGGTAAAATACAAAGTTCTATGAATTTAGATAAATGTAGTCACGTAGGGGCACCTGGGTGACTCAGTCCATTAAGCTGACTCTTGATTTTGGCTCAGATCATAACCTCATGGTTTGTGGGATTGAGTCTCATGCTGGGCTCCGTGCTGTCAGTGCAGAGCCTGCTTGGGATTCTCTCTCTTCCTGTCTCTCCACCCCTCCACCCGAGTGAGCACACACATTCTCTCTTGCTCTCTCCCAAAATAAATAAGCTTTTAAAAAAATGTAGTCATGTAACCACCACCACAATCAAGACATAGAACAGTCCCATCACCCCCAAAATTTTCCATCAGGCCAACTCTCCAAGACTTCCTTCACTGAAAGTACATTCATAGTAGACCCATCCTTGTGGATGACACTGGTTCATGCCGTTTTATTGCTAAGTTGACACATACCTTATAATGTACCACAGTTTGAATATCCATCCGTTCACCAGTTCCAGAATTTGGGTGGTCGTTTCTGGCCCTTGGCAATGATAAAAAAGCCACCGCAAGCATTCACAAACCTGAATTTTCATTTCTTTTCAGTAAATAATACCTAAGAGTGGAACTGCCACATCATATAAGGGCATGTCTAACTTGATAAGAAGCTGCTGGGATTTGGTACCGCCATTTTTCTAAGCCATGCTAATAGTCATACAGCAATTTCTCGTTGTGGTTTTAGTTTGCGTTTCCCTAAAGACAAATGTTGTTGAACACCCTGGTGCCAGTTCCCATTGATATATCTTCTTTAGTGAGCTGTCTAAATCTTTTCCCCCTTTTTTTTAATGGATTATTTCTTATTGGGTTTTGGGAATGCTATATATTTTCTGGATACAAGTCCTTTGTTGGATATGTGACTTGAACATATTTGTCCCAGTCTGTGGTGTTTTTGTTTTTGTTTTGTTTTTATTGAGTAGAATTTATTTCTTAGGTAGTTTGAGGCTCACAGCAAAACTGAGTGCAAAGTCCAGAGATCACCCACATACCCTCTATGTGGTTTATCTTTTCATGAAAAGTCCAAATTTATCAATTTTTTTTTATTTTGCAGATCATGTTTTTGGTGCTATATCTAATAATTTTTTGCCTAACCCAAGGTCACATTTTCTATTTGTCTCCTAGAAGAATAGCTATCCTTCATTTCAAGAGAGTTGAACTCATGGGACATGTGTTAACTGCTTCAAAGTCTCTGTCTCGTAATCCCAGGATCTGGATCATCCTGGGGTTAGCGTTTGTGGACTGTCTTTTGTCTCAAGAAATGGTCACATTTTTCTGGATTATTGTGAAATTTTAAACGCAGAATAACATCCTGAATATGAAGTTGTGCAGACGCGGAGTCCTGTTGCAAATCCTCTGGAGAGCATTAGGATTTTGTTTGTTCCTTTTTATCAGACAACCAATCTGCTTAGGTTCAGATGGGCCATGGTTCCAAGGTCACCCCAGTGCTCAAGGCTTTTGCTCCCCCATGTGCAGCTCAGGATGAGTCCTAGCTTCAGGCCAGTCCGGACACAGAGAAGACCCTCCCCCCCTTCCAGATCTTTCCTCTTAGGAGTCTCCCAATCTGCTGGCCCAGAGGTGGGATTTCTCTTGGGGTCCTAGCTGCCCACATTGCTCCCCTAAGGGCAAAGCAGAGAGAGAAAAAAAGGGAAATAAAAACAGGCATTCTCTTACACGTTTTGGACCACAGGGGCCCCTTATCCTGGTTCCCCTGACCAGAACACAAGGATTTCCAAAGGCATTTTAGGTGCCAGCACCACCAGCCATGTGAGTTCCCCCAAGGGGTCTGCTCCAGGATTCAAAAGGAGGGAGAGACACCTATACACTTTCCAGCCTACATTTCCCTACTCTTCGGGCAGGAAAGATTGGATTTTTTCTTGGATTTTAGCGCCCTCTGCACATCTGCTGCAGCTCTGAGAGCCTCTGGCTCATGGCCAAAGAGAAAAGAAAAATGAGAAATTCACCCCACTGGTCCCAAGCATAGGTGGTTTCTCCCCCGCTTTCACTCCCTTCCCAATTTGTCACTTTTTCTTTACTTTCCCGAGTCCTCAGGTAATCAATGTGTCTATAGTTTTCCGTCGCAATGCACAGGAGAAACAAGACCTAGTGGGCTGACCTCACCTCGGTCCTGTCCTCCAGTAACCTCCATCTCCTGTTACCTGCTAAGGCAGCACCTCTCTTCCCATTTCGCGTTCCAGCAGCTTCCATGCCTTAGCTGAGGCACTAGCTCGCCTCTCACCTTCTGCTTGAGGGTATAGTCAGCATGGAGAAAATCCGATCCCTGATTCTCATAAAACCAGGACGTACAGTACACATGTTTTATCCTGGTCTTAGCTGTCACTCTTTATTTCATACCCTTACAAAAGACATGGGGAGGGCACCTGGGTGGCTCAGTTGGTTAAGCCTCTGATTCTTGACTTCGGCTCAGGTCATGATTTCACGGTTCACGGGTTTGAGCCCTGAGTAGGGTTCTGTGCTGACAGTGCAGAGCCTGCTTGGGATTCTCTCTCTCCCTCTCTCTGCTCCTCCCGCTTGCAGGCGTTCATTCTCCCACTCTCTCTCTCTCTCTCTCAAAACAAACAGACTTAAAAAAAAGACAGAGGGAAAGAAAAAACCTACCTGACCTCTGGCACACTGTCCTCTCCTAGTTCCTGCTCTCTGGAAGCCTCAGTCTCTTGCCTTCCTTCCCAACCACACCAGGCTTAAGAAGCCAGGTGGGGGGCGCCTGGGTGGCGCAGTCGGTTAAGCGTCCGACTTCAGCCAGGTCACGATCTCGCGGTCCGGGAGTTCGAGCCCCGCGTCAGGCTCTGGGCTGATGGCTCAGAGCCTGGAGCCTGTTTCCGATTCTGTGTCTCCCTCTCTCTCTCTGCCCCTCCCCCGTTCATGCTCTGTCTCTTTCTGTTCCAAAAATAAATAAACGTTGGAAAAAAAAAAAAAAAGAAGCCAGGTGGGAGGTTCACTATTCATTGTAAACAGCTGCTCATCAGGTATGCTGATAGGGACCAAGAAAAACTAACCTACACAGGTTCAGGCTGTTAAGGGCGTCAAAGAAAAAGTGTGTGTTAGAGGCTTCTTTCTTTGGCAGACATTTAAACTCCTTCTGGCTCTTTTCACTGGTGGCAAACTAGAGGACTATATCCAGAGAGGAACCCAGTGACTGGGTTTAGTTTCAGATACACAGCTAAACCTAGCTCCCCTGCACTGCTTTGAGCTGTAATAGGAAAATCAAAGCTGCTAACAGAAAATGAATGTGGATGTTTCCAGAATGTTGGAAGTAATGCCATGCTTAAACACAAAATCCACTCCTCAGTCACATAACAAATATCTCTGAAAAACCTACACTACACCAGGCACTGTTTCATGTACATAGAATACTGAGGTAAACAAGACAAATTCCCTGCCCTCATGGAGTCATCACACAACAACAAAATGAATAT